GGGAGGGGCTGGGTGGGGGGTGGGAGGGGTGGGGGGGTGGGAGGGGTAGGGCTGAGTGGGGAGGGGCTGAGTGGGGAGGGGCTGGGTGGGGGGTGGGAGGGGAGTGGCTGGGTGGGGTGGGGCTGGTCACCCCGTGGTGCCCCCCTTATAAAACTCAACGTTTCACCGACTCACGCCGGCTTGTCCCCGCCCTCACAGTCGGGCATCTTGTGCTGAACGCACCACCAACACCACGTGGTGGTGGTGCCACTGTTGACCCTGGCCATTGACCGAGCTACCCAAACATTCCTACCAGCAGCTCCATCCCTCCCTCGGCAGGAGATTGTGTTCATGTTCACCACGTGAGGCGCTACTTAGCTGCTGTCTCGCTACCACGAGTGATAGCGAGACAGCAGAGTGGCTGATATCATCATCATCATCGCCACGTGGACATTTATACCAGCACACCCATAAAGACTCACAGAGACCCAGACTCATAGAGACCCATAGAGACCCATACTCATAGAGACCCACACAGACCCACAGAGACCCATACTCATAGAGACCCACAAAGACCCAGACTCATAGAGACCCATAGAGACCCACAGAGACCCACACTCATAGAGACCCAGACTCATAGAGACCCATAGAGACCCATACTCATAGAGACCCAGACTCATAGAGACCCACAGAGACCCAGACTCATAGAGACCCAGACTCATAGAGACCCAGAATCATAGAGACCCATAGAGACCCACAGAGACCCATACTCATAGAGACCCATAGAGACCCACAGAGACCCATACTCATAGAGACCCAGAATCATAGAGATCCAGACTCAAAGAGACCCATACAGACCCACAGAGACCCAGACTCATAGAGACCCACAGAGACCCAGACTCATAGAGACCCAGACTCATAGAGACCCAGAATCATAGAGACCCATAGAGACCCACAGAGACCCATACTCATAGAGACCCATAGAGACCCACAGAGACCCATACTCATAGAGACCCAGAATCATAGAGATCCAGACTCAAAGAGACCCATACAGACCCACAGAGACCCAGACTCATAGAGACCCATAGAGACCCATACTCATAGAGACCCACAGACCCACAGAGATCCATACTCATAGAGACCCTCAGAGACCCACAGAGACCGATACTCATAGAGACCCACAGACCCATAGAGACCCATACTCATAGAGACCCAGACTCATAGAGACCCATAGAGACCCATACTCATAGAGACCCAGACTCATAGAGACCCACAGAGACCCAGACTCATAGAGATCCAGAATCATAGAGACCCATAGAGACCCACAGAGACCCATACTCATAGAGACCCAGAATCATAGAGATCCAGACTCAAAGAGACCCATACAGACCCACAGAGACCCAGACTCATAGAGACCCATAGAGATCCATACTCATAGAGACCCTCAGAGACCCACAGAGACCCATACTCATAGAGACCCACAGAGACCCACAGAGACCCAGACTCATAGAGACCCACACAGACCCATACTCATAGAGACCCACAGAGACCCACAGAGACCCATACTCATAGAGACCCACAGAGACCCACAGAGACCCAGACTCATAGAGACCCACACAGACCCACAGAGACCCACAGAGACCCATACTCAGAGACACACAGAGACCCACAGAGACCCACACTCATAGAGACCCACACAGACCCACAGAGACCCACAGAGACCCATACTCATAGAGACCCACAGAGACCCACAGAGACCCAGACTCATAGAGACCCACACAGACCCACAGAGACCCAGACTCATAGAGACCCATACAGACCCACAGAGACCCATACTCAGAGACACACAGAGACCCACAAGAGACCCATACTCATAGAGACCCACAGAGACCCACAGAGACCCATACTCATAGAGACCCACACAGACCCATAGAGACCCATACTCATAGAGACCCACACAGACCAACAGAGACCCATACTCATAGAGACCCACACAGACCCACAGAGACCCATACTCAGAGACACACAGAGACCCACAGAGACCCACACTCATAGAGACCCACACAGACCCACAGAGACCCACACAGACCCACAGAGACCCATACTCATAGAGACCCACAGAGACCCATACTCATAGAGACCCACAGACCCACAGAGACCCAGACTCATAGAGACCCACACAGACCCAGAGACCCATACTCATAGAGACCCATACAGACCCACAGAGACCCAGACTCATAGAGACCCATACAGACCCACAGAGACCCAGACTCATAGAGACCCACACAGACCCACAGAGACCCATACTCATAGAGACCCACAGAGACCCACAGAGACCCACAGAGACCCATACTCATAGAGACCCATACAGACCCACAGAGACCCATACTCATAGAGACCCACAGAGACCCACAGAGACCCATACTGCGCTACGAACCTGGCGACCCGGGTTCGATTCCCGCTCACGGTCAACACCACCAGTGACGATCATTTGAACCGGTTCTGGGCGTCCCCTAGGTCGACTCAGCCTCAACTGAGTAGCTGGTGCAGTGGTGGTGGTGGTGTCGTGGTGGTGTGGTGGTGGTTTTGATCGTGGTGGTGGTGTAGTGGTGGTGTAGTGGTGGTGGTGGTGTAGTGGTGGTGTAGTGGTCGTGGTGGTGTAGTGAACATCGCTAGCACTGGTGGAGAGACAAAGGCGGCCGGGCGTGGTGGTGGTGCTGGCCACCCACCCCCTCTGTGTGTAGCCACAGTGCCGGTAGCCTTCATACAGGGAGGGAAAAAAGTATTTGATCCCCTGCTGATTTTGTACGTTTGCCCACTGACAAAGAAATGATCAGTCTATAATTTTAATGGTAGGGTTATTTGAACAGTGAGAGACAGAATAACAACAAGAAAATCCAGAAAAAACGCATGTCAAAAATGTTATAAATTGATTTGCATTTTAATGAGGGAAATAAGTATTTGACCCCCTCCCAATCAGAAAGATTTCTGGCTCCCAGCTGTCTTTTATACAGGTAACGAGCTGACATTAGGAGCACACTCTTAAAGGGAGTGCTACACGGGGGATCTTTGTCTGTGTGTAGGTGCTACTGACAGCACTTGCCCCTACAGCCTGCTAGAGGCTACACGGGGGATCTTTGTCTGTGTGTAGGTGCTACTGACAGCACTTGCCCCTATAGCCTGCTAGAGGCTACACGGGGGATCTTTGTCTGTGTGTAGGTGCTACTGACAGCACTTGCCCCTACAGCCTGCTAGAGGCTACACGGGGGATCTTTGTCTGTGTGTAGGTGCTACTAACAGCACTTGCCCCTACAGCCTGCTAGAGGCTACACGGGGGATCTTTGTGTGTAGGTGCTACTAACAGCACTTGCCCCTACAGCCTGCTAGAGGCTACACGGGGGATCTTTGTCTGTGTGTAGGTGCTACTAACAGCACTTGCCCCTACAGCCTGCTAGAGGCTACACGGGGGATCTTTGTGTGTAGGTGCTACTGATAGCACTTGCCCCTACAGCCTGCTAACGGCTACACGGGGGATCTTTGTCTGTGTGTAGGTGCTACTGACAGCACTTGCCCCTACAGCCTGCTAGAGGCTAGACGGGGGATCTTTGTCTTTGTATGTACGTGTGTAAATTAAACTTCTTTAGCACCGTACGTAGCCAACTGTTTTAATCTGTGGGTCTCTCTGAGATCTGGGTGTCTATGGGTCTCTGTGGTTGTGTGTATGTGTGTCTGTGTGTCTCTGTTGTTGTGTGTATGGGTGTCTGTGTGTCTCTGTTGTTGTGTGTATGTGTGTCTGTGTGTCTCTGTGGTTGTGTGTATGGGTGTCTGTGTGTCTCTGTGGTTGTGTGTATGGGTGTCTGTGTGTCTCTGTGGTTGTGTGTATGGGTGTCTGTGTGTCTCTGTGGTTGTGTGTGTGTCTGTCTGTGTGTCTCTGTGGTTGTGTGTATGGGTGTCTGTGTGTCTCTGTGGTTGTGTGTATGGGTGTCTGTGTGTCTCTGTGATTGTGTATGGGTGTCTGTGTGTCTGTGTGTCTCTGTGGTTGTGTGTATGTGTGTCTGTGTGTGTCTGTAGTTGTGTGTATGTGTGTCTGTGTCTCTGTGGTTGTGTGTCTGTGTGTCTCTGTGGTTGTGAGTATGGGTGTCTGTGTGTCTCTGTGGTTGTGTATGTGTGTCTGTGTCTCTGTGGTTGTGTGTCTGTGTGTCTCTGTGGTTGTGAGTATGGGTGTCTATGTGTCTCTGTGGTTGTGTGTCTGTGTGTCTGTTTGTGTCTCTGTGGTTGTGTGTATGTGTGTCTGTGTGTCTCTGTGGTTGTGTGTATGGGTGTCTGTGTGTCTCTGTGGTTGTGTGTATGGGTGTCTGTGGGTCTCTGTGGTTGTGTATGGGTGTCTGTGTGTCTCTGTGGTTGTGTGTATGTATGTCTGTGTGTCTCTGTGGTTGTGTGTATGTATGTCTGTGTCTCTGTGGTTGTGTGTATGTGTGTCTGTGTGTCTCTGTGGTTGTGTGTATGTGTGTCTGTGTGTATGGGTGTCTGTGTATCTCTTCTGGTTGTCTGTCTGTGTGTCTCTGTGGTTGTGTGTATGTGTATGTGTGTCTGTGTGTCTCTGTGGTTGTGTGTGTGGGTGTCTGTGTGTCTCTGTGGTTGTGTGTGTGGGTGGCTGTGTGTCTCTGTGGTTGTGTGTATGGGTGTATGTGTGTCTGTGTGTCTCTTCTGGTTGTGTGTATGGGTGTCTGTGTGTCTCCGTGGTTGTGTGTATGGGTGTCTGTGTGTCTCTGTGGTTGTGTGTATGGGTGTGTGTGTGTCTCTGTGGTTGTGTGTATGGGTGTCTGTGTGTCTCTGTGGTTGTGTGTGTGGGTGTCTGTGTGTCTCTGTGGTTGTGTGTAGGGTTGTCTGTGGGTCTCTGTGGTTGTTGAACTTCTTTGGCACCGTACGTAGCCAGCCGTGGCTAATCAGAGATGCGGGGGAAGGACAACATCAACAACACTAAAGACAACAACAACAACACTAAAGACAACCACATCAAGCACTTGCTCAGGACATCAGTCATTTAGGTCGTTTTACAGAGTGAACCCCAAAATATAATAAGCCAATCACATAACAGCGTCACACGTGATTCCTCAGTTCTCGGCCGATTTACAGAGTGCACCCCATTAACAATGAACCAATCACATCACAGCGTCCCGCATAATTCCACAGTGCTAAGTCGTTTTACAGAGTGCACCCCAATAATAACAATGAACCAATTTGTGCACGGCTTGACGAGTAATTCTTCAGTGCTAGGCCGTTTTAACAGAGTGTACCCCAATAACAACAATAAACCAATCAGAGCACAGCATGACGAGTAATTCTTCAGTGCTAGGCCGTTTTAACAGAGTGCACCCCAATAACAACAATGAACCAATCAGAGCACAGCGAATGAAAACAATGAACCAATCAGAGCACGGCGTGACGAGTAATTCATCAGTGCTAGGCCGTTTTATCAGAGTGCACCCCAATAACAACAATGAACCAATCAGAGCACAGCGAATGAAAACAATGAACCAATCAGAGCACGGCGTCACGAGTAACTCTTCAGTGCTAGGCCGTTTTTACAGAGTGCACCCCAATAACAACAATGGACCAATCAGAGCACAGCGTCACGAGTAATTCATCAGTGCTAGACCGTTTTTACAGAGTGCACCCCAATAACAACAATGGACCAATCAGAGCACAGCGTCACGAGTAATTCATCAGTGCTAGGCCGTTTTTACAGAGTGCACCCCAATTAAAACAATGAACCAATCAAAGCACAGCGAATGAAAACAATGAACCAATCAGAGCACAGCGTCACGAGTAACTCTTCAGTGCTAGGCCGTTTTTACAGAGTGCACCCCAATAATAACAATGAACCAATCAGAGCACAGCGAATGAAAACAATGAACCAATCAGAACACGGCGTGACGAGTAATTCATCAGTGCTAGGCCGTTTTTACAGAGTGCACCCCAATAACAACAATGAACCAATCAGAGCACGGCGAATGAAAACAATGAACCAATCAGAGCACAGCGTGACGAGTAATTCACCAGTGCTAGGCCGTTTTTACAGAGTGCACCCCAATAAAAACAATGGACCAATCAGAGCACAGCGTCACGAGTAATTCTTCAGTGCTAGGCCGTTTTTACAGAGTGCACCCCAATAAAAACAATGAACCAATCAGAGCACAGCGAATAAAAACAATGAACCAATCAGAGCACAGCGTGACGAGTAACTCTTCAGTGCTAGGCCGTTTTAACAGAGTGCACCCCAATAACAACAATGGACCAATCAGAGCACAGCGTCACGAGTAATTCATCAGTGCTAGGCCGTTTTTACAGAGTGCACCCCAATAAAAACAATGGACCAATCAGAGCACAGCGAATGAAAACAATGAACCAATCAGAGCACAGCGTCACACGTATTCCTTGTTACTGGGGGGCTGGCTGGGCTTGAAGGGGTAGGGCGGGCGGCAGGGCTGGGAGGGGGGCCCCCTCCGCCCGTACCCGGGCCCCCCACTCCTCTCGCACGAACAGCAGAGGAAGGAGCCCCCCAGCATGGTGAGGCCGGCCGCTGCCCAGCCGACAAAGAGTGCCGAGCCGAATTCAAACCTGCACCCAAAACACATCGCAGTTAGAACGACAACAACAATAACAACAATAACAATAACAACAATAACAACAATAATAACAACAACAATAACAACAAGCCGAATTCAAACCTGCACCCAAAACACATCGCAGTTAGAACGACAACAACAATAACAACAATAACAATAACAACAATAACAACAATAACAACAATAACAGCAATAACAACAATAACAACAACAATAACAACAATAACAACAATAACAACAACAATAACAACAATAACAACAACAATAACAATAACAACAACAATAACAACAATAACAACAACAATACCAACAACAATAACAACAATAACAACAACAATAACAACAATAACAACAAGAGGCCGAATTCAAACCTGCACCCAAAACACATCGCAGTTAGAACGACAACAACAATAACAACAACAATAACAACAATAACAACAATAACAACAACAATAACAGCAATAACAACAACAACAATAACAACAATAACAACAATAACAACAACAATAACAACAACAATAATAACAACAACAACAAGAGGCCGAATTCAAACCTGCACCCCAAAACACATCGCAGTTAGAACAACAAAACAACAACAACAATAACAACGACAACAATAACAACAATAACAACAACAACGACAACAACAATAACAACAACAACAACAACGACAACAACAACAATAACAACAACAATAACAACAACAATAACAACAATAACAATAACAACAACAATAACAACAACAATAACAACAACAATAACAACAACAATAATAACAACAACAACAAGAGGCCGAATTCAAACCTGCACCCCAAAACACATCGCAGTTAGAACGACAACAACAACAATAACAACAACAACAACAAGCCGTGGACATGGTCGTTTTACATGGTGATGATGGTGATGTTGTTGGTGATGTTGGTGATGGTGATGATGGTGATGTTGGTGGTGATGATGATGTTGGTGATGGTGGTGATGATGATGATGGTGATGATGATGGTGATGTTGTTGGTGATGGTGATGTTGTTGGTGATGATGGTGATGGTGATGATGTTGTTGGTGATGTTGGTGATGATGGTGATGTTGGTGGTGATGATGGTGATGATGGTGATGATGATGGTGATGTTTTTGGTGATCGTGATGATGGTGATGTTGTTGGTTATGGTGATGATGGTGATGTTGTTGGTGATGATGATGGTGATGTTGTTGGTGATGGTGGTGATGATGATGGTTATGATGATGGTGATGTTGTTGGTGATGATGGTGATGATGGTGATGTTGGTGGTGATGATGGTGATGATGGTGATGATGATGGTGATGTTGATGGTGATGTTGGTGATGGTGATGATGGTGATGATGGTGATGTTGGTGGTGATGATGGTGATGATGGTGATGATGATGGTGATGTTGGTGGTGATGATGGTGATGATGGTGATGTTGTTGGTGATGGTGATGATGGTGATGTTGTTGGTGATGATGATGGTGATGTTGTTGGTGATGGTGATGATGATGATGGTGATGTTGGTGATGGTGATGATGGTGATGATGATGGTGATGTTGTTGGTGATGTTGATGGTGATGATGGTGATGTTGTTGGTGATGATGGTGATGTTGTTGGTGATGATGATGATGGTGGTGATGATGGTGATGATGATAGTGGTGATGATGGTGATGATGGTGATGTTGTTGGTGATGATGGTGATGTTGTTGGTGATGGTGATGATGATGGTGATGATGATGGTGATGATGATGGTGATGTTGTTGGTGATGATGGTGGTGGTGATGATGGTGGTGATGGTGATGATGGTGATGTTGTTGGTGATGATGCTGATGGTGATGATGGTGATGATGGTGGTGATGATGGTGATGATGGTGATGATGATGGTGATGATGATGGTGATGTTGTTGGAGATGGTGATGATGGTGATGATGGTGATGTTGGTGGTGATGATGGTGATGATGGTGATGATGGTGGTGATGTTGTTGGTGATTATGGTGATGTTGTTGGTTATGGTGATGATGGTGATGTTGTTTGTGATGATGGTGATGTTGTTGGTGATGGTGGTGATGATGGTGATGTTGGTGGTGATGATGGTGATGATGGTGATGATGATGGTGATGTTGTTGGTGATGATGGTGATGTTTTTGGTGCTGATGGTGGTGATGATGATGGTGATGTTGTTGGTGATGGTGATGATGGTGATGTTGTTGGTGATGGTGATGATGGTGATGTTGTTGGTGATGATGATGGTGATGTTGTTGGTGATGATAATGGTGATGTTGTTGGTGATGGTGATGTTGGTGATGTTGTTGGTGATGATGGTGATGATGGTGATGTTGGTGGTGGTGATGATGGTGATGATGATGGTGATGATGATGGTGATGTTGTTGGTGATGATGGTGATGTTGTTGGTGATGATGGTGATGATGGTGATGTTGGTGATGATGGTGATGATGGTGATGTTGTTGGTGATGATAATGGTAATGTTGTTGGTGATGTTGTTGGTGATGATGGTGATGTTGTTGGTGATGATGGTGATGATGGTGATGTTGGTGGTGATGATGGTGATGATGATGGTGATGTTGTTGGTGATGGTGATGATGGTGATGTTGTTGGTGATGATGATGATGGTGATGATGGTGATGATGGTGATGTTGTTGGTGATGATAATGGTGATGTTGTTGGTGATGATGATAGTGATCATGATGGTGATGATGTTGGTGATGGTGGTGATGATGATGGTGATGATGATGGTGATGTTGTTGGTTATGTTGTTGGTGATGATGGTGATGTTGTTGGTGATGATGGTGATGATGGTGATGTTGTTGATGGTGATGGTGATGATGATGGTGATGATGATGGTGATGATGGTGATCATGATGATGGTGGTAATGATGATGGTGGTAATGATGGTAGTGATGATGTTGATGATGGTGGTGGTGATGATGTTGATGATGGTGATGATGATGGTGATGATGATGATGTTGATGATGGTGGTGATGATGGTTATGATGATGATGGTGATGATGATGGTGATGTTGTTGATGGTGATCATGATCATGATGATGGTGGTGATGTTGATGATGGTGATGATGATGTTGGTGATGATGTTGATGATGATGATGGTGATCATGATGATGGTGATGATGATGTTGATGGTGATGATGGTGATGATGATGATGTTGATGGTGATGATGGTGATGATGATGGTGATGATGGTGATGATGGTGATGATGATGATGATGGTGATGATGGTGATGATGGTGATGATGGTGTTGATGATGGTGGTGATGATGGTGATGATGATGTTGGTGATGATGTTGATGATGATGGTGGTGATGATGGTGATGATGATGATGTTGATGGTGATGATGGTGATGATGATGGTGATGATGGTGATGATGATGTTGATTATGATGATGGTGATGATGATGGTGATGATGATGTTGATGGTGATGATGATGGTGATGATCTTGATGGTGATGATGGTGATGATGATGGTGATGATGGTGATAGTGACGGTGATGATGGTGATGATGATGTTGATTATGATGATGGTGATGATGATGGTGATGATGATGTTGATGGTGATGATGATGGTGATGTTGATGGTGATGATGGTGATAGTGACATCACCTGGCGTTGGCCGAGGTCGCGGGGTTGTGGAAGTCACGTGACACGCGGCTCGCGTACCAGGAGACAGCTATGAGCGTGCACGCGCCTGCCAGGCACAGACAAAGGTGCACCGGGTAGCCTCTCACAGGCTGCTGGGGCAAGTGCTGTTAGTAGCGAGCAACAGCATTCACTCACTCACCCACTCACTCACCCACTCATTCACTCACTCACCCACTCACTCATTCACTCATTCACTCACCCACTCATTCACTCACTCACCCACCCACTCACTCACCCACTCATTCACTTACTCACCCACTCATTCACTCACCCACTCACTCACTCACCCACTCATTCACTCACCCACTCATTCACTCACCCACTCATTCACTCACTCACTCACCCACTCACTCACTCACCCACTCATTCACTCATCCACACACTCATTCACTCACCCACCTACCCATTCACTCACCCACCCACTCATTCACTCACCCACCTACCCATTCACTTATCCACCCACTCATTCACTCACCCACCCACTCATTCACTCACCCACCTACCCATTCACTCACGCGTTAATGTACTCACCTCCTCACTCATTCGCATACAGCATTCACTTCCTCAGCCACGCAATCACCCACCCACCCACCCCCTGAGTGGGTACCTGCCAGTAGGATAGAGGACCCCCCCCCCCGTGTCGTGAGTCCCACCGAGTCTCAGACGCCAACTTTGCCGGCAACACTTTTTATTAACGGCCCCCAGCCAGCTCGACCTACAGCTGGCTGGGGTCTCGAGCGGCCGCGTGCAAGCCAGCGGACCCGGGGCACCTGGGGCCCGGAACAGGAACGAGATCCTTGGACGAGGCAGTCTGACAGGGCGTGGATGAAGGGCTTCAGACTGACACAGCGTGGACGAGGCAGTCTGACAGGGCGTGGATGAAGCAGACTGACACAGCGTGGATGAGGCAGTCTGACAGGGCGTGGACGAGGGGCTTCAGACTGACACAGCGTGGACGAGGCAGTCTGACACAGCGTGGACGAGGGGCTTCAGACTGACACAGCGTGGACGAGGCAGTCTGACACAGCGTGGACGAGGGGCTTCAGACTGACACAGCGTGGACGAGGCAGTCTGACAGGGCGTGGATGAAGCAGACTGACAGGGCGTGGATGAAGCAGACTGACACAGCGTGGATGAGGCAGTCTGACAGGGCGTGGATGAGGCAGTCTGACAGGGCGTGGATGAGGCAGACTGACACAGCGTGGATGAGGCAGACTGACACAGCGTGGATGAGGCAGTCTGACAGGGCGTGGATGAAGCAGACTGACACAGCGTGGATGAGGCAGACTGACACAGCGTGGATGAGGCAGTCTGACACAGCGTGGATGAGGCAGACTGACACAGCGTGGATGAGGCAGTCTGACAGGGCGTGGATGAAGCAGACTGACACAGCGTGGATGAAGCAGACTGACACAGCGTGGATGAGGCAGTCTGACACAGCGTGGATGAGGCAGTCTGACACAGCGTGGATGAGGCAGACTGACACAGCGTGGACGAGGGGCTTCAGACTGACACAGCGTGGATGAGGCAGACTGACACAGCGTGGATGAGGCAGTCTGACAGGGCGTGGATGAAGCAGACTGACACAGCGTGGATGAGGCAGTCTGACACAGCGTGGATGAAGCAGACTGACACAGCGTGGATGAGGCAGTCTGACACAGCGTGGATGAGGCAGACTGACACAGCGTGGATGAGGCAGTCTGACAGGGTGTGGATGAAGCAGACTGACACAGCGTGGACGAAGGGCTTCAGACTGACACAGCGTGGATGAGGCAGTCTGACACAGCGTGGATGAGGGGCTTCAGACTGACACAGCGTGGATGAGGCAGACTGACACAGCGTGGATGAGGCAGTCTGACACAGCGTGGATGAAGCAGACTGACACAGCGTGGACGAGGCAGTCTGACAGGGCGTGGATGAGGCAGACTGACACAGCGTGGATGAGGCAGTCTGACAGGGCGTGGATGAGGCAGTCTGACACAGCGTGGATGAGGCAGACTGACACAGCGTGGATGAGGCAGACTGACACAGCGTGGATGAAGCAGTCTGACACAGCGTGGACGAAGGGCTTCAGACTGACACAGCGTGGATGAGGCAGACTGACACAGCGTGGATGAAGCAGACTGACAGGGCGTGGATGAGGCAGTCTGACACAGCGTGGATGAGGCAGTCTGACACAGCGTGGACGAAGGGCTTCAGACTGACACAGCGTGGATGAGGCAGACTGACACAGCGTGGATGAGGCAGACTGACACAGCGTGGACGAAGGGCTTCAGACTGACACAGCGTGGATGAGGCAGACTGACACAGCGTGGATGAGGCAGACTGACACAGCGTGGATGAAGCAGACTGACAGGGCGTGGATGAGGGGCTTCAGACTGACACAGCGTGGATGAGGCAGACTGACACAGCGTGGACGAGGGGCTTCAGACTGACACAGCGTGGATGAGGCAGTCTGACAGGGCGTGGATGAGGCAGTCTGACACAGCGTGGATGAGGCAGTCTGACACAGCGTGGACGAGGGGCTTCAGACTGACACAGCGTGGACGAAGCAGACTGACACAGCGTGCATGAGGCAGTCTGACACAGCGTGGATGAGGCAGACTGACACAGCGTGGATGAAGCAGTCTGACACAGCGTGGATGAGGCAGACTGACACAGCGTGGACGAGGGGCTTCAGACTGACACAGCGTGGATGAAGCAGTCTGACACAGCGTGGATGAGGCAGTCTGACACAGCGTGGATGAGGCAGTCTGACACAGCGTGGATGAGGGGCTTCAGACTGACACAGCGTGGATGAGGCAGACTGACACAGCGTGGATGAGGCAGTCTGACACAGCGTGGATGAGGCAGTCTGACACAGCGTGGATGAGGCAGACTGACACAGCGTGGATGAGGCAGTCTGACACAGCGTGGACGAAGCAGACTGACACAGCGTGGATGAAGCAGACTGACACAGCGTGGATGAGGGGCTTCAGACTGACACAGCGTGGACGAAGCAGTCTGACAGGGCGTGGATGAAGCAGTCTGACACAGCGTGGATGAAGCAGACTGACACAGCGTGGATGAAGCAGACTGACACAGCGTGGATGAGGCAGACTGACACAGCGTGGATGAGGCAGTCTGACACAGCGTGGATGAGGCAGACTGACACAGCGTGGATGAGGCAGTCTGACACAGCGTGGATGAGGGGCTTCAGACTGACACAGCGTGGATGAAGCAGTCTGACACAGCGTGGATGAGGCAGACTGACACAGCGTGGATGAAGCAGACTGACACAGCGTGGATGAGGCAGTCTGACAGGGCGTGGATGAGGCAGACTGACACAGCGTGGATGAGGCAGTCTGACAGGGCGTGGATGAGGCAGACTGACACAGCGTGGATGAAGCAGTCTGACAGGGCGTGGATGAGGCAGTCTGACAGGGCGTGGATGAGGCAGACTGACACAGCGTGGATGAGGCAGTCTGACAGGGCGTGGATGAGGCAGACTGACACAGCGTGGATGAGGGGCTTCAGACTGACACAGCGTGGATGAGGCAGTCTGACACAGCGTGGATGAGGGGCTTCAGACTGACACAGCGTGGATGAGGCAGTCTGACACAGCGTGGATGAGGCAGTCTGACAGGGCGTGGATGAAGCAGACTGACACAGCGTGGACGAGGGGCTTCAGACTGACACAGCGTGGATGAGGCAGTCTGGCGTGGCGTGGACGAAGCAGACTGACACAGCGTGGATGAAGCAGACTGACACAGCGTGGACGAAGCAGTCTGGCGTGGCGTGGACGAAGCGGCTTCCCGCCCCTCAGGAGGCTTGCCCGTCGCGGACCGGACCGGAAAGTTTGGCCGCCTATCGGCACGGGGGCGTGGGCCCGCAACGGCACATCGATGGGAGGGTCAAACTCTCACGGGGTCATCCTGCAAATCCCTGCAGCTCGCCGAGCAAAGTGACTCCGGTGTAGGCGCTCGACCACGGGCCTGCGGGCGGTACGGGGGACGCTTGTCCCTTTGCCTACGCCCGGCAAGCCGCAAGCCTCCCGCAGCAGCGCGGAAGGGAATGCTTTAGCTTGGTCCGTCAACAGGCGGCCAGGCGACAGGCCGACGGATTTGGGAGCGGCCAAGCCGCAGGACGGGCGCTGGGAAATCCCTCGACGCCCACGGGCAAGTTCTTGCCTCCACGCGCCCGGGCCGGGGGAACGGGCCGAGAATATCGTAGGGCAACGGTTTCATTCGCCCGCAGCCTTTGAGTGGATCCTCAACGTCGGACGGCAATCCAAACGCAGCGTCTCCAGCGCTCCGAGGTGCCAAAGCCGTCAACGCACGGCCCACAGGACCCCCGCCCAGCAGGGCGGGTGGTGCAACGGCAGCCTAGCGGCACACAGCTCCACCACGATGCCTGAACAATCCCAGCGGTGCACGCCTCCATCACAATGCCTGAGCAATCCTCCATCAGGATGCCTGAGCAATCCTCCATCAGGATGCCTGAACAATCCTCCACCACGATGCCTGAGCAATCCTCCACCACGATGCCTGAACAATCCTCCACCACGATGCCTGAACAATCCTCCATCAGGATGCCTGAGCAATCCTCCACCACGATGCCTGAGCAATCCTCCACCACGATGCCTGAGCAATCCTCCATCACGATGCCTGAACAATCCTCCATCACGATGCCTGAACAATCCTCCACCACGATGCCTGAGCAATCCTCCACCACGGTGCCTGAGCAATCCTCCATCAGGATGCCTGAGCAATCCTCCACCAGGATGCCTGAGCAATCCTCCATCACGGTGCCTGAACAATCCTCCATCACGATGCCTGAGCAATCCTCCACCACGATGCCTGAGCAATCCTCCACCACGATGCCTGAACAATCCTCCACCACGATGCTCTGAGCAATCCTCCACCACGATGCCTGAACAATCCTCCACCACGATGCCTGAGCAATCCTCCACCACGATGCTCTGAGCAATCCTCCATCACGATGCCTGAGCAATCCTCCATCAGGATGCCTGAACAATCCTCCACCACGATGCCTGAGCAATCCTCC